CCCAATGCCTCTTGATGTTACGTGGATGAAGGCTCCAATGCGGGAGAAATCAATATGACGGTGATGATGATTATTGTCGGTGGCTAACGTTGGACATGTATAAATAGCAGGCCTCCATTGGTCTCCTCCATGGATGCAACTTCTTTATTTTCATCCAAGAGCTCTACATGAGACTAAACATCGCCCAATACCTTCCTTGATGTGCCAGAATGTTGTAGGAACAAATGGGGCAAAATCGGTGAAGAATCACGGAAGTTAAGGTGATTCCCGTTGCCCATAACGGCTCAAGTGAATGTTGGTACTGTCATGCATGGTCATACCACGCACTGTCTTTCGCTCTTGAGGCTGAGCGTGGAGTTTAGTAATTCGGTCGCCATTCCTCGTACAAACTTTGATTTGGGCATTTTGGGCTCGTTGGATATGTATCGAGAAGCCCAATAACCTCCTAATATTGGATCTTCAATTTGGTGCTTGTAATTCCTCCGTATTGATCCCAACCTTGGTCCTTTTATCGTGCTTAGTCCATGGGAGTTCCAAATCATCTACAAACACAACAAATACAGAAAACTAAGAAAAAATAGAGACTGTGCAATGCTCACAATAAAATGAGTGCAAACTGAAAATCATGCATAACGGACATGAAAGTGGCTCGATGGAACATGATATAATGAGTTTCTATGCAGCAAATGAGCTCTAAAATGGGTCAAAAATTACACCATCACTGATGCATTTCAAGGCACTGAGGAAGAGAGCTCGGCTTTTTGGCAAAGTGTGCAGGGTAGGTTTCATGAGCAAAAAGCACTACGACCCCGCCCCTACAAGAATGAAGTCATCCATGACCGCAATCCGAAGTCACTAGGCCATCAATGGTACACCATTTAATTGGAGGTCAACAAGTATGCCGACACATATAAACAAGTGCAAAAGCGTGGCTAGGTGAAGGTGCGGACCTGATTACGGCTACCGTGTATAAACGCTTTGCATAAAAGGAGGGTGAAAAGGAGGCTAAAAATTGAGTTATTTGGCACGGTCAGCCAGAATGGGGGCTTATGGTATCGATGGATCATGGATGTGAAAAACTTGTACATCCCATGCATTTTGGTTTAATTGCATTTGTTTACAACTATTCAAATGTATGGTTGAATTACTATTGATCTCGATAAATTTGTCGAAGGAAGGATGTTGGACAAGAGGCGAACATTTGGTGACTCCGGTTGGACGCCCTCCGCTCGGTCAGTTGTCTGTGAACACGTCAAATGTATCCGTGGATATTTGATGATGTTCGATAGGTGACCTGCGTTGGAGTTGCCCTTATAGATTTTGGGGGAAGGGCAAGAAGTAGCTTAACTCCTCAAACTGATTTTTTAGTGAGTTATAAGCCTTGTTGGAGTGGACAGAAATGCTCTAATCCTACATTACTTTTCAATCGCCAATACGCTCTTGAGCTCACATGACCAACAACCTGATTTCATCTTAACCTGAGGAATGATCCAGGAAATTCTAATTCTTCCACGAAGGAATCACTATCTGATACTACATCCAAGGTCACAGATCGTCAAAGTGGGGGACAGCGTCTGGTCATGAATTAGCATCCATGGTCTTTGTGAACCAAATGGGGCTGCTGGTTCGTTGCAGAGCCAAATGGAGCTGCTGGTTCGTTGCAGAGCCAAATGGAGCAGTTTGCCTTTGTGAACCAACTCCGCACTGCGCTACATAAGCAAATCACACAGGAAACGCCCGTAACCTCACGACTGAGCAAGATGCAACCACAAGATCGTGCCCACATCCTCACCGGAGCCTGCATTGCTCTCACGCTCCTACTAAGCACTGTAAACACGGCGTCCAGCCGCCGTCCGGCAGGCCACAGCCCCCCGCCCCCTCCCCACGGCTCCGGCCAGACCATAACGCTCTACACCAATGGAGCTGCACCACCAAACGCCGGCGGCACCCCTTCCTCGAAACACCCGGCCTTCACCAGCCAAGGCCCGATCGGCCACCCCGGCAGCTGGCTACGCACCTTGACGCGGCCTGGGGCGCTCCGCCCCGGCACGGTGACCGTCGTCGACGAGCAGTTCCATGGAAAGAGAGAGTTTGGGCTGCCCTTGGCTGGGAAGCTGCAGGGCGTTCTTGTCACCAGCTTGGATGATAACAGCAACCATATAGTTGCAGTGAAGGCCCTGTTCACCGGCGATGGCGCGGAAGACAGCATCAGGTTCTTCGGAATCCATCACAACGGTCAGGAGGAGTCCCATGTCGCGGTGGTCGGAGGGACGGGGAGGTATGACAGCGCCACCGGTTTCGCTGTTATTAGAGCAGCAGATGTACCTGAAACAAGGGGAAATGACAGCTTCAGCAGGAATCTCAGTTTCAGTGTGCTCCTCAAGTGAAGGCTGTGAAGGCTGTGAAGTCTCACATACCATTCTGCAAATCAACTTCTCCGCAAGAAGCTTCAGAGTTTTCGACAAGTGAAACTTGTAGATTGACAGTTCAACACACACCGAAGGAACAAGACTTAACTGAACAGGATATATATGCAATCTCATCCCATTACATTTCACTCATATCAAGTATTCATTTTACAGTTAGGAGTTAACTGGAAGTCCAAAACTGAACCCAATAGCTCCTGAAATACAATCTCTTCACCTATCTTTCACTGCACTTCTATAGTTCCACATGTGGACAAAAAACCATTGGTTACTTCTGTCCAGTCTCACCAAGACGAAAACAAATTTAAATGATTCTACAAGGTCGTTATACAAACACAGAATTGTACTGAACGGATCCAGTTGGTGAAGCGCGTTTGCCTATATTCGCAGCATTCAGAACCAAATAGATTCATCTCACTGTTGCCTTGATTACTCATCCAAGATCCTTTTGCGGAAATCTGTCACCATCAAGGGAAGGCCTTCCTTCAGAGATACCTTTGGCTCCCAACCTAGCAGTTGCTTGGCCTTGGTAATATCGGGCTTTCTCATATGGGGATCATCGGCTGTGTTGGGCTTGAATTCAATTGTCGACATTGGGTCAATTGTTCCCTTCACAACCTGGAAAAAGGCAGGATATTCATTTACTACGAACCATTTTAGATTAAAAAAAAAGTATCTAAAAACACTCTTGTACAGACCTCTGCAAGTTCCAACATGGTGAACTCTCCTGGGTTTCCCAGATTGAAAGGGCCAATATGTTCACTCTCCATCAGAGCCATCAATCCAGCAACCTAAAAGACATGGATGGAAATATCATGACAAACTTAAGACTTGATAAGAGAAATCAAAAGGTCTGTGTAGCCATTGATCTGCATTCATCTAATAAAGATAAGCAAGCAGGTGATATGATGAAAAAACATTTGATATTTGTATGCAAAGGGGAAAAATAGATGCAACAGACAAAAATACTGAAGCTATTTTTTTACCTGCGAACAAACCTATCAACAGCTAATTTCCTTGGCCTCAGTTTATGTTAGTTATTTGAAAGTGTTTCTGTGAAGGTGTGGGACTGAATACTATTGGTCAAACAAAAAGCACAAGAAGTTTCTACGGACAAAACATTTTGTTTCATCCAAGTTCATCGAGTATACAGCTAAACTACAAAAGAAAATGTTACTCTGAGAAATTATAACATGGAACAACAGAGAAAAAGAATTGCAACTAAGAGTATATATGAACACATGAGACAATCAATGCACAACAAGAATATTGCACAGTGCTTACCAGATCAGAAACATACTGAAAACTTCGAGTTTGTTTTCCATCACCATATACTGTCATTGGATGTTTGCGCAGTGCCTGCAAGGATACCCATGAGACATATAGGTCAGGGCTTCAGCGAATGGTGCAGCTAAAAACTAGTAATACATGATATGTGGCTAACAGACCTGTGCAACAAAATTGCTAACCACGCGGCCATCATCCAGGCACATACGAGGGCCATATGTATTGAAAATACGAGCAATTCGTACCTGCATTTATGCCAGTTAGCAAAAGTTTGTAGAGATTTAGCTACAATTAAGACAGTGTGGTCACATGCATTGTGCCAAGACACTAAAACATAGAGCATGTTAATGTAAACGGCATTTTAATTATTTATTGTCTCATGAATAATTATAGGATTCGAACAAAATTTAATGAATGAGTTGCACAGACCTAGATATTTTCACTTCTAAATAACTGAAATGGGACACATCAATTATGGTAACTAAAGATGACTGGATAATGCTTTCACTAGTTCACACTTTGCCAGCTAAGTGAATGCAAAGGAAAATCTTACAGGTCTAAGAGCGTACAAAATACTACCTGTGATCCATTATAAGTGTCGCAGTTTTGAACTAACCCTGGTTCAAAACTGCAACACTTATTTTGGATCGAGGGATTAGTATTTTCCTAATTATAACATAAACCCGGTCAAAGAGACGGAGTAGATATAACTAGATAATTACCGCAACACCACCACCACGATGGTAGTCCATAGTCAAAGTCTCTGCTGTTCTTTTGCCCTCGTCATAACAACTCCTAACACCTGAAAAAGGCAAGGGTTTAATCCTCTGGAAGTAATATTAGGCGCTGAGCAGTGAGCACAATGAAGTGGTATAAACTAATAATGCAGTACCTATAGGATTAACATGCCCCCAATAAGTCTCCTTCTGCGGATGCTCAAGTGGGTCACCATAAACTTCACTTGTGCTAGTCAACAAGAACCTTGCACCGATTCGCTTTGCCAGACCCAACATATTCAAGGTTCCCATGACATTTGTCTTGTGCTAATTGTTAAGGGGACAAATTATACTGTATATCACTGAAGCACAATAAGAGAACTCTCACAACTGATCGTCTAAGGCAGTCAAATCTGAGAAAACAGATAGTTGCGTCATAATAGACAATTATCTGTTCGAGATCGCCCTATTGCAAATGTAGGTTTTCTATGCAAAAAGTGGTAAATTAATGAAACAGAGCGCTCCTAAATCCAAGCAAAACAGCCAAACAACCACCGCGTGCGCTTGATCCGGGCCACAACCATCACTATTGTGCCCGATCTGCATCAAGCATACCTCCCACCAACCGCACAAAAAGAAGATCGAAATCGAGTCGCTTTCAATGTAAGCAAATCAAACAGTATGTATAGATCCAGGCGTCGAGAAGGATATGATCGTCTTGATGGGGTTGTACTTGTAGTGCACGGGCGATGCGGGGCACGCGAGGTGGTAGATCCGGTCGACCTCGAGAAGGATGGGCTCGACGACGTCGTGGCGGAGCAGCTCGAACCTGGGGTTCCGCAGGTGGTGCGCGACGTTCTCCTTCCTCCCGGTGAAGAAGTTGTCCACCACGATCACGCTGTCCCCCTGCTCCAGCAGCCTGTCGACGAGGTGGCTGCCCACGAAACCCGCCCCGCCGGTGACGACGACGCGGCGAGGCGGCGGGCGGAAGCCCGTGGGGACGCCGCGGGGGTCGGACGAGTGGCCGACGAAGGAGAAGATGGGGCTGCGCTCGGTGGGGTTGGAGGCCGACAGGGAGAAGAGGTAGGGGCGGAGGAGGAAGAAGGAGGTGGCGATGAGCGCGCCGAGGAGGACGAAGAGGAGCCGCTGCTCGCGGAGGAGGTAGCCGACCCAGGTGCGCGGCCCGGGGCGCGCGGGCTTGGAGATCTTGGACGCCGGCGCGTGCGCCGGCGACGGGGCGTGGGTGGGGGACTTGTGGAGCTGCTTCATGGCGGGAGAGCGGCGGGGAGGAGGCGGCGTTTGGTGCGGTGGGTTGCTGGTGGGGGGAGGCCAAGAAAACGAGCTCAAGTGTGCGAGGAGGGGCTCTCCATTTGTTGCGAATTGGTCCTCCAATATTTCCATTTTTCTGTTGAAAACTGGGAATAACTTTGTTTTGCACCCCTGAAACTTTATGAAAGGTTGTGTGTGATACACTCGACGACAAAACCACGGGTTACTCCACAAACATATAAAAGCATCCGTGTGGTCTAGATGTTGAGCAGACACTAAAGATGAGAGAAATTGTTTAGCATCAATGCTAAAAGATGTGAGTGTACATGTTAAAAGCAAAAAATCGGATGCATGTGCTAAGCTTATCAATCAATGTTAAGCTAAATCAAATAACGTGTAGTCTGTTTATGTGTATCAAGTTTCCATTCAATAATAAAAATGAGAGTCCTTGGCGTCTATATATATAGTGCCCAGTGATATATGATTATAAAAAGAGTTCGGGGAGGCAATAAAGAGAGTTGATGTGTACGTAGTAGTGTTTGATGGGGGGAGGGGGGGTTAGACGAGGGAGTTTGTATTGGAAGTTTGGATATTTAGTTCAAATTTGCATTCGGTACCAAACTCTCCAAACATATCTCCATCTAGATAAGTTTTAAAGTGCTTTGGATGTTACTTTAATGTGCTCTTGGGGACTAGTTTCTAATGATTTGGTTTTACCTGGCATGGTCTATGTGGTACCAATAAAATATATGTCACAATGGTGTCGACATTCATTTCATTAGCCTCATTTTTATTGCGCTTTCTGTTAGTCGTCATCTTTCCTCTCATTTAATAGCCATCGATAACATTGCTCCCAACTACCTTAGAGTGTAGTCTAGCCTCATTTTGCTCTTTTAGGTGTTTAATGAATGATGATGATGTTAAGTGGACCGACTGCGAGAGATATATGCAAAACGAACATAATCAAAGAAATCCTTACATTTCTTACTTAAATAGACCAATTGCACCAAACATAAGAGTGTGAGCCATCGCGTGTGAATATCCAAGTCTAAGCCCGAGCTCGTCTGATCTTGGTGAACAGTAAAAAAATACTAGAAAACTAAAAATAATTTAGGAAAATGGATGGAAGATGTTCGAGCGTGTGATGTTTGTGTCAAATTTTGTGGTGCTTGGACATCTGAGTAGCTATTAGCAAAAAAAAATGATCCAAACAGTAAACTTTCTCGTAGACCTCGAATTTGTTTTTAGAGCAACTCAGATGTCCAAACGCCACCAAATTTGGCACGAATATCACGCACTCGAACATCTTCCATGCTAAAAAATCAGAATTTTTAAAAAAAATTCTAGTATTTTTTATTTTACTGTTCGCTCGAGGGAATAGATGAGAAATAAAGAGAGTTGATGTGTACGTAGT